ATTTCATTGCTTTATACTTATAATCTATTGATAAATCATACTATTGATACAGCAGATCTTGAAAAGGTTTCCACCTAAAAAGATAATTTTCCAATAATAATCTCCTTCATGGTTCGCTGCACCATCTTGAAAGGTAGCTGTGCCTTGTCATCCAAGCCAGATAACCGTTGAGCGTGCAATGATAGAACCTGTGAGTATAATTGTCTCTAGATGTGAGGTTTCTATCATTGCACGCTCAACGGTTGTCTCGCTTCGATGCAAAGGCACAGCTACCTTTCAAGATGCAGTAGGGAACTGTGAAGAAGACTATTGTCTTGATGTTTCTTCAGTTTCTGCACATTCTTTAATGTCTGTTTTGAGTTTTAAAAATGTTTTCATTTCTCCACTAAAACACACCTGACATTCTAGACCCGTTTAACACAATTCAAATGGAATGTTGTTATAAGTCACATGGCAATTGGGATGTCCTATTGGGTGGACAACCATTTCAAGATTGGCTGTATATCAAAAGAAATAAAACAATGTAATCAGTTTTATATTTATCATATCATTTTTTCATATTTATCCTACCATGAAGATAAATTTTCTTAGAATTACTTCATATATTACTCATGTAAATCYGACAAAAACCACTAATATTGTAGATCAATAATAATATTCAAAATCTCAAAAATATTAGTTTTATCTAACAATACTGTCCATTCTGTTATGTTATTACTGAAAAACTGTCAAGATTATGCTCAAAACAGAGCACTGCCAAAAGGAGAGCAACCACTAATTTCACAAAGTACACTGTACTCTCATGACAATGTAAACTAACCTACTAAATGTTATTAATGTCCACCAAGTCAGATTGAAATAATTGAGTGCCAGTTACCAACATTTTGAGATACATAAATACAGAATTTCCAAATGATTACAGTTTAAATACATAGCAAAAAGAACCCAAAGATTATTTTYCCATTAAGCCAAACAACACAAGACRCATTTTATACAATATAAAAGATAAAAAGGAACAGACGACTGTCATTATTTGTACTTCTTACACAGACGTGACACCTGCTAAATGAAGTAAAAAAGTGAAACCCCAGAACAACYGAAAAAGCATTTCTAATGATTTTGAATGCTCTCCAAAATAATTTCTATTTTATACACAATTTGGTTTAGATATTTCTTTTAGTTTGTTCTRTACTTTTAACAAAAGAAAATGACATTATGGTGGCTATGTTTTACAATACAAAATTTCTATTTATCTACAATATTGTTCCCCAATAATGGCAACCTATTGTTATTGCATCTAACGGAGAACCTTATGAATCAAGCTAATAATAAGAATTATTCTTTCATAGAAGCACAGTATTTATTAGTATGGGATTCCTGTGCTTTTTAATGCTTGGAGGTGGACGTTTGCTCCCAGACTCCACAAACTTTCTATACAAACAGGAATCCCAATTAAAAAAATATACTGCTTCCTGCTAAAGAAGAATTTTATAATATAATTACAAATAGCTTAAATGTATATTTATAGGTATAGAGTATAAGCTAATTCATAGCTAAAAAACATTTTTTTAGTTTACACGGCATTGCTTTTTGAAAWCCCCAAAACAAAAGAATCAATGTTTTAAAAACTTGACGCATATTTAAAGTTTGAAGATGACTTGATTAGATGAAAACATTTGTACTTAAAACTTTAAATGCGCCTTAAGTGTAGACTCTCTTTSGTATATGAGGGATCACCCATAGAAAGACCCAACAGAAATTCAYGAAAATAAAAGAATTGTTAGCTATAGCTGCTGCAGTGTTTTTATTGAACTGTCAGTCCAAGGGATTGGCACAGTAATGGAGTTCCACATATACACATCCAGCCCATACAAGCATAAGTCAAATACCTCACTGGATACTCAATATTCCACTTGCTTCTGATGTTTTCTGGCCTGGATCTTACTTTACTGAGTCTTTTCTTTTTCTTCTGGAAGGATAAAAAAATATTCCAGAAATTCAGTATGCAAAATAATGTGAAAACAGAATGACCTTTGCCAGCTAATSTACACCTTTTTTAATGCCATCTTGAAAGTAGCTGTGCCTAAACATCACAGMGAGACAGCWGCTTTCAATCATGGATACCTGTGAATAATATTGTCCAAGATATGCAAGGTATCCATCATGCACTGCATTCATCAACTGCTGTCTCACAGGTTACTGTTAAGGCATGGCTACCTTTCAATGGTGTTGGCAACTGTAAAATGAAGATTTTTAAATGTCTAACCTGTTTTTCAATGGGAGGAAGCTTAAATGAAGCAGAGTAATCTGTGTGGAAGTAGAAGTTTTCTATTTTCCTACTGCTAAAGTACTCAATATCAACAACTCTTAGTGCAAGACCAACAAGGTTCATAAAGATTTGCTTGAATACCATTCTTGTTAGGATTACTAAAATGTATCCTGAAATGAATCAAGTCTTGTGTTAGCTTAAACTGGAATATACACAGAGGACATACAGCTAAATGACAGTTTATTTAATCTCTAAATGAAAGATTAATTATWTTCAATTTGTTGTTTTTGTTTGATATTGATTTTTTTATGCAACTTTTCATCATATAAAATACAATCATGTATATTAAATTGTTCTCATTGTAGTCAATCTATCTCTGACTTACCAAGTGTAAGCTTAAGGAGAGAAACCCAAGCAATGGTGAACCAAGTCGTGTTTTCTGTCAACAAAAATACAAAACAATCATTATATCAAAATATATTCAACATTCAATGAAAGATGTGGATATCTACACTGTAATTCATCTTTCCTTTATCCTTATATTGCAGAAAGCAAAGTTTCTAAAGTTCTCACCTTGTGCTGATTCAAACACTGCTTTTAGTATTGTTGAGTGTTTGGTGAAGGTAGCTCTTCCTATTGCAACCCCAACGGTAACTCCAGCCATACATATCTACAAACAATCAATACTTCAAATCCTTTGCAAACTGTTTATGTATGCCATTTATGGTCTGGAAAACAATACTGATTTGAACTTGAAATGTAACAAATAGTTTAAAAAAGTAAATAAATAGTAACAAAGTGTTTTTATATAAATTTAATAAATGATATTTTTCCTTTCATATTTCTTYGTGACTTTTGTTGCATGTGGTACATTTACATAAAACAGATGGACTCAAGTTGGTAAAGTGATTGAGAAGACTTCCAAGCAATGTAGTACTTACAAAAACTTCATACACAGTACTTACAGTTTCAAAATAAGAATTTGTTTCTGCTTCTGGTTGAGGATGAATAAACAGTAAAAGTAGAGAATATATAAGAGACTTGGCAATCACTGAAAAAAGAAAAAAGMATTTTATTGAGAAAAGAATGAAGACTACAGAAAAGTACTGTTGCAAAAGTATTGTAAATTTTGCACACAAAATCTAAAAGTAAATKAAGCAGTATTGYCTCACCATTAGATCCATAGCACAAACCCAGGTCAAACATATCATCAGTTTTCAACCAGATAGCTAGGATAATACATCCTATAATACCACCAACAACAATATCGGCAGGACTATGAACACCGAGATATAGTCTACTCATCATGACTAAAATAGACCCTGAAACAAAATAAATATTACCTTGAATTACTTCTAAATAGTTAACTTTGTCAGAATGCAAGATGTGTGCWAATAATATAATATTATCATAAATCAAAACATGAAAGAGTGTTAACTTACAAAGAACTATAAGAACAAAAAGAATGACAAATCCCCAGTAAGGCAAGTTGAAATGCAGCATTGAGTAAAACCAGATGTACCTAAAATAAGTTGAAGATATTTTTTTGAATTTATTGTACATATCTGTACAAAAATAACACTGTTGTCTTATGATCAGGAATGTTAGAATTATGCGCAGATGCGGACGCGCATAATTGCCCCATTTCTAATAATTTACCAAATCGAGCATAATCGCTCATAATTCATGTTATACCATTTTTTAAGATGACTTGCCATCAACTGATGTTTTTTTGTGGTCCCTTGACTGTTTTTTGATCAAAAATTGCTTCCAAACWTGCTTATAGTTTTCCGAATATATATTGTTTTGTGGGCTTCATAAAWATAMCAGGCRTTCAAAATCTCATCAGAAAGGAGTCTGGGCACTATCATTACTGGTTACCCTGTGCCYTACCAGATCATGTGACAAATTCCAATAAGTCGTATGAGACATAAAGCATGTGAGAACGAAAAAGTCTAAAAAKATCTTTTCTTCAGTTAGTACTTCCTTCGATATTTCGTAACTAAAGATAAAACTGTAGTTTTGCATGAAAAACAAACACAATAACCTAAAAATATGTAAAATTTCCCAGATTTTACTTTCTTGTAATGACGTCATGCCGCATAATTTTCCGCATAATTTTCCCTTTTCTCTGCATAATACAGTATGGGGAATAAAATCCGCTTAATTTTTTTTTTCGCGCAAAATTCCAACATGCCTGTATGATAAGGAAAATCATGTGTCACTATGATACTACTTCAAGATCTTTGTGATAAAATTACCTTCATGAGTGTGATTTGTACAAATAAACTACTGTATTACACATAAAATAATTTCAAGATAAACATTGTTTTTTTATATTTATCATAGTATTAAACACATATAACCTACCAAGCATTTAAATAGTACAAAAATAGATTACAAATTATGCTTATTCCTTCATTTCATTTTCATGTCTGACAAACGTTATTTAGGAAAACTAATTAAAATTTGTTTCACAGATTCTAAAGTGATCGAACACATATTACTAAATGTAAAATAGCAATTTGATATTTACCATGGTAATAAGACTGCAAGGATAGCATGATGGCTTGGCAATCCCCTGAAATCAAATTGTTCAATAAATAATTATTATTGAAAGAAGGCACGTCTGGCTAGAAATTGATGTTCTTACCATGTTTCAAATGAGTTTTCCTCCATCGGGATAATAGGAGGGTTGGACGGCCTTGGCAAACACAGGAGATTCTAACAAAATAATTAACAAACAAATATGATATTAAKCAACCAATGAATAGTTGRTTTGCACAATGGTATCACATACTACTATGACTAGAATGCTTTGCYGAGCTTGACAAAACAATGCTGCTCACTTTTTATATATTACATAAAGATCTCCTCATATTTTATATATCACATAAACAACCATGGTATATKTATGCTTACCTTCATGGCTCCTGCCACATAAAAACCAATTCCCATCAAAAAACACAAAAGTCTTCCTAACCTTGCATCAACTACCCTGAAAAACAATAAACATTTCATGAATAATGCCTTCATAACATTGCTCACAGGATAAATAATTATTTTACCAAGTCAGAAAGCACACAAGTGGAGTGTAAAACTCCTCAGTGCCAAAAAAGCTGCAAAGTTTCATCATCTTGACACCAAATGGTGTGCGCATCCTCTGAAATAACAATAAATATGGTAAAAAGTATTAATAACATTCTGAACATTTCCAGTATGGCATATCTGTACCCTGCGAGCAGAGTGTATTTCCTTACCTTATTGAGGTAAGGAAATACACTCTGCTCGCAGGGTAGCATATCTGGTATCCTTATTTGCTTTCCGTCAATTATTAATTACTTTTTTCATGGACTTCCAATAACAAATGATTGTAGCAAACAAAAATGGGATGCAAAGTCCCAAATGTAATATCATAATTTTTCTACATACAGGCACACTAATACTTGTCTTGCTAGAAATACAATCTCATTCTCTGATTTGTCCATTGCAATTTATTCAGTTTCTGTTCAATTATCTCTGATTAATGAAATTGTGTGTAGAAAGTCTTTAAGCGACCGATTTTTCATCAAAAGGCATGGACTCAATAACAAATGATTGTAGCAAACAAAAATGGGATGCAAAGTCCCAAATGTAATATCATAATTTTTCTACATACAGGCACACTAATACTTGTCTTGCTAGAAATACAATCTCATTCTCTGATTTGTCCATTGCAATTTATTCAGTTTCTGTTCAATTATCTCTGATTAATGAAATTGTGTGTAGAAAGTCTTTAAGCAATTCTCATTTTCATTAATTGAATTAAGTTATAAAGCAAATATGCAGAAATAATTGATTTTCTTCCCAAGCCGAAGTACAATAAACACATCATCATTATGAGTGAATAAGAGTAAATTTGAATAATTTGTAATATATTCAAATCTTTWTCCTGGCACAGTACAATCATAAAAGTACATCATTTTCATTGTTTTAATCAAGGTTCCCTGATGTGATTCAACTCATCTTGACAACCTTGGAGGCAATACTCAAYAACAACAACAACAAAAACACATAAGGTTGATTGGACTATGAGTTAATAAAATATAGGAAAGATTAGAAATAAAAACAGACTTTTCTCAACATTTTGCTTTCTTAATGCGACTATATAGCATGAATACCATAGTTCAGTAGCCAATCAAAATGTTGGATTTGTAGATATGTAATTCAACACTGTAAGAACCAGGATCACATGAGAGTGTTTATAAAGTGACCCTTGATCAGTGGAGTTTTAATTAAGAGCTTCATGCAAAACGATCAAAACAAATCTGATTGCAAAACATCTAATGGAGGTCTGTCCATAGAAAAAAATTCAGATTAGAATTATAAGACTTTTRTATTCAAATAATCTGTCAAATTAATTATCACTATAGTGATTCCAACTGTATATTGGGAAAAAAGGATGCTTTAACATATGCAAATTCAGTTTGTTTAAGCAGCAAGTCGTGACAGAACACCAAGGCAAAATCAAGAGGTCTACATTCAAATAAATCAAAATCAAATTTAAGTCTTATAAGATTTTTATTGTTTGTGCATCAAATTAGAAATTACTCAAATGAAATTCGAATTGGGGTTGAAAGCATGATTGTTTTATGAATAAAACGGTTGTAAAAGACCAATCGTGTCCGCTAAAACAAATTAATCACAATATTTATTCTTGACTCTAACAACAACTAACAGCAAGGCCATAAATGACTGTTTTGTATCATGAACCGAGTTACATGTAGCACCATAAATAATTTAGTCCATAGCTTAAATCACAACTACGATACTTTGACAGATGACTGTACAACAAGAAGCAGCACCATAAACAGCATATTACGTGTTTATTGAGGCGAAGATCTTTTTAAGATGGATAACATTCCTACTTCATGAGAAACACCTGGAAGTCCGGAAACTCCAGCTTATAAAACAGCTTACCTGAATGGCGACGAGGGGAGGCGTTCCCATAAGGATGGAGACCAGAAGACGATGTCGAATCCATGTTCCCACAACACCAAGTTTATCTGAAAATGAATATTCGTCAGTTTTTACATGTAGCAAAAATGAGAGAATAGTCAAAGAGAAATTAAGTATTTCGCAACGYGTTATGGTGCTGAAGCCCGCTACCGGCTTCGCTTTTTTACAATCGTAATAACCTCCATGAAGTATAAGTACAGTTTCCCATGCTGTAGACCAATAACTCACCTATAGGTGCAAATACATATTCATCGGGGTCGTCGTCTGAATCGCTTACTTTTTCGCAAACTTCTTCGTCTGAACACTGGTCATCGACATCAGCCATGTTTTGGTCGCACTCAAGAAGAAAAGAAGGAGCGCCCGCGTATTAGCAATCAGTGGTCATCTTGTAAAAAAATACGCTCCCGCAATAAAAATAGTTTATTTCAGCGGTCACGGCTAAAGTAAATGCGTGCGCATACACATGCTGTCAAATTCAAGATGGCGGACGGCGAAGATGATGAGGCCTTCTTGTATGGGAACGATGAAGGTATATATTTAGGGATTTTCTCATCTGTTAACTGTAAACACAGTGCTTTGTAATATACCTTATTTATATAGAGACATTGTCACTACAAACTGGTACACTTTCACATAATGTAAGCGTATACTATTTTGGACAAGTAAGCTAACTTAAGCTTACAGTCAGTAGCTAGTAAACTTAACTTGTCTTCTTAAAATTAAACACAAATCATAAAGAACTTTATGTCTTACATGCATAAAGTAAGGATAACACTCAAATATTAATTAGTTTTATTCATTAGTGTACTTGTTGATAAACAAAGTACAATAATACTAATTGGTGGATCTAAAATGTGTACATGCTAAAAATTGTGAAGTAAAATACACAAGGTCCCAGGAGGAAGGGTATCATCAGCGACAATTCAAATTAGAAGCAGTTGATGAGATGACAGCTGTATATTACACACATACAAACCTTAGTTTAACTCACAGTTTGACCATGGTATTTAATGCGTGACGAATTCACTACACAAACTTTCTCTTAGCAAGGCATGATATACATTTATAAAATAACTTTCATATTACGCGCGCTCTGATTGGCCAAAAAGATGTGTTTGATGAGAGCATAATACACGCTCGTGTCATTTTTTTTTCTCGGCTTTTTTTTCTCATGAATATTTGAGCGCTTGTTATTGTATACAAGCAATAAAAAAACAGTTTTCCGTGTAAATAAAAAACTGTTTTTTATTCCTTAAGTATGCAATGAAACATTTTTGTGAAACTTGCCTTAATTGCTATTGAGAGAWAAGGGCTAGTCTATAGAACATAGGGCGTATTGGTGGGTTTCTACTATTCAATAGTCACCAACATGCCATTCAATATGTGTCATCTTTCAAAAGTTTTCAATTATGTGACTAATATTGCCATATGCCATGACTTGGTACATCAATGTTTTCTAAAGGCTCAATATTACAGTGACAGGATTTGTTGTCTTGAATGTCTCTGATATGGATCATCWATAGTCCTTTTTAACTCATTGAAGTGTTCATCTTCTAGATGAGAAAAAGGGAGAAACAGAGGAGGAAATCAAAGATGTCAGGTAAAAAATTGCAATAAGAATGCACACAGTTTTGTAGTCTTTGATAATTAATATTTTGACGTTAATATTAAAATTCAATGAATTTATAGTGAAGTTAAGCCTGATGAAGCTGAAGAATCAAAAGAAAATGTAAAGCCAGAAGAAAGTGAACCTGTAGAAAATGGWGAAGATAAAACAGCAGATGATAAAGAYGATGATGATGCAAAGGAAGCTGGTGAATTGGTTAGTTTTTTATATAATTATTGATAGTTACATATCAACATCACAATCTAGTGGTTGATGATGTGTCTTATAATAGAGACGTTAAGATACACCAATCTGTGTATAGGTAACCCTACCCATAGCTTTAACAGGTAAACTGCATCGTACAGTGTATCTTAAGGTCTTTAATAATGACATTATCCAGAGCAATGAAGATGATGAAGATGATGATGACGACGACGATGATGATGATGATGATGTTCAGGTTACTATTGATGAAATAAACACTTCAGGGACAGGCTATGGGTAAGTTTAATGTGCATTCAATGTTAATTTCAAATTAGAAACATATTAGTTTTGGTGAGAACYTTTATTGTTACCTTAAATTACTGTTATTATTGATGTTGCTGTTTTTGTTTCTTAGAGAAAATTCCAATTCTGGAAATTCATTGACTATTAGTCTCCACTTTTAGAAGATTATCATTAATCATTAATCATTTAAATCATTAATATGAGACATTACAACATTGTATTTTGTACTGTAATTCAAAAGTCTTAAGATCCAGTATTCTGACAGGACACCATATACTACACCTGTGAACTGGAACTTCAAGGGAAGCRCMGTTGGTTCTGCTAGCAAGGGTGCTGCTACACCTGGTAGGTATACTTCTCTTGATTCATCAGACTATTGTACATGTACTTTTAGTTGCAATTATTATGTTTTAAGTGCAAAACATGAGTTTTTTGATGATTATTAGTCGACTTTTTGAAACACAGTTAGATTATTCTTATCCCATTATCAATTCACTCTCGGACATTGCCAAATTTATTATCTTTAAACTCATCAGCACATACACACGCACATGCACACGCTTCGATGAATAGCAAGCAAGCAGCAACACCACATGGCCCTACAAGCAATTTTGGGGCACCCCGCATGCAATTAGCACAACTAGTCATGTATATCCGTCATACCAACACATCCAAGCCACCTACATTGTATGTAACCAGGCTAGAGTACTTGACTTTAACTTAGCCTAAATGTATACATTTAGCCTCATCAAATAAAAGTTGTTTGATGACCATCATAATATGCAAGTGAAGTATTGTATTATTGATATGTGTGTCTTTAATTTATCAAGCTGCTGGTAGCAAACACTTGGATTTGAATGCWGAAGGAACAGTAAATGGTGTTGGAATTTATGAATTTGACTTGGAATCAGCAGAAGAAAGACCTTGGAGAAAACCAGGTATTTTAGTTTTCTCATTTATTTGATTGTCTTTTAAACATGTACAAGCAACCTTGTGTTGGTGGAAAAGAAGAGTACAAACTATTTGAATTTTGATTTTCGGGGAAATTTGATTACATTGAGGGACTTGTGAACAAATAAATAGCTTAAAAACTAATTATAACTGATAAATTTTAGGTGCTGACATAACAGACTATTTCAACTACGGTTTTACTGAGGATACTTGGAAACAGTACTGTGAAAAGCAAAGAAGAATGAGACTGGAATTAAGCATGCAGAAAAAGATTTTTGTAAGGAAAAAAATAATGAACAAAAGCAAATAATGATAGAGGTGACATATTGAGGAACAGTCACTATCAATATATACTGTATAAATTAATGTGATAATTCACTCTCATATTTAAGTAATGCCCCAAGTTAGAACTAGGGAAGCAAACAGCAAAGGAATGAMAGAAGGTGCTAATTGTGCATTGTATAATCCATCCATCCMATTGGTTAAAACATGAAAATCTGCTATTATTTCACAAGTTMGCGCATTTTCTAATATTTCTTTAGCTTCAATATTAAGACAATTCTATGTGGGGAACATAGCAAATTAGAAGCATCTTTTGGCTATTGTTTTGAGTGCTTATGATTGGAYARGAKSTTTTAATACAAAAGAAACTTTGTTTCAAAATAGAGTAAAACCACATTTTATTTCAAAAATGTGTTACCCACAGATGGATACATAATCAGTGTGAAAACCAAGACATTCGGTTGTGGGGAAGTTGCAATGCCGCAGAACAATAGAGAGTTCCTAGTTCTTTAGCKCATTGTTATTTAATGYTTGTTTGTATCATTGGTTTAAATGAATTKTTTTCAGGCACACCATGCTGGTGCACCAGCCCCTACAGGTCAAGGTGATTTAACAGCAGTTATCACAGCTGATGGTGAGGGTACAAAGATTATATTGTCAGTACCTTTGCAGATTTTAGTGCCACAGTCACCAGACACCCTATCTAGTGAAGTGAAAAAATGAAATGTAGCACATGGGAGTCGGGTACT